GTGAGTCCGTTTGGGCAGGCCTTGAGTTGACTAGGTCGAGATCAAATTTGTATGCAAGTCGAGGCAAGTTTTTCACTGTTTGGCTACCCAACCCAAGTCAACGCAAGTTGAGTGACGTCCATTCGTTGTTATAGCAACCTATTAGCCAATGAAATGTTACATTTTAGCCTGGCCAAACGGACTGCCAAGTAGGGACTTGGGTTGGGTGATGAAACGGACTAACAAGTTTCCTCGCAAGTACACGCAAATCGCAAAAGAAAAAGTTTCAAGGCAGACATATCGCAGACATTTCGTACCCTAGAGAACGTGTTGTTATGATCTGACCAACATTTAAGCTATCGATCAATTACTTCGTTCTTTTTAACTACTGTGCTAGTTTGCGACTGAGTATCGCTGACAACAAAATAGCTCTAGCTTTTAACACTTCAATGGCTCTACGGCAGTTTAAATTAAAAGATGTACTAAAAAAAATTCGTTATGCGTAAAAAGGCGAAAAACTTTAAGTTAACCATTCGACTGTAATGATTACGCACTAAATAATACGATGTTCCCTCTCTTAGGTAAACTGTGTCTTGAAACAAACGTTTGTTACACAAGTATTTTAAAATGAAAATGAGATTTTAAGACACTTGAACACACCCGTTATTTAAACTCTTTTGCCATATTTATGCGAACCATGTAGTGGGTGTTTCATTATCTGGTAAACGGCTCTGTGATCCGAGCTGAGACCGCTAAAAACAACATCGACTCAATTGGGAAACGTTAATAACCTTTACTTATTAATTGGGCAGTTTTAAAACTTAAGCTTACAGGAACATAGGATCAAAACGGAGAGGATTTTAGATAATGAAAAATTAATTATGTTTTAACAAAGAGATATCTCCATTTATTCTGTTATTCTTTAGCGGCAATCAAAATTCAGCTCATTAAGTCAAATTATCGAGGGCTGGAATTCGAACAGGCTTCTAGAATGAGAAAAGCTGCTGGTTCGTTCCTGAAACCGTTTGTTCAAAACAGATTATTTTTCTAGCTTGCGTTTGGAAGACAACTTTTCGGAGGCTTAGCAAAATAAAAGATCACAATTAAAATAAAGACGGCTGTCGATTAAAAAGCAGACTTTTCAGATAGTCTTTAGTTCCTAATGGAGTATCTTTTTAGCCATTTCTTCCTTCCAACATAAAAGAGAGAAGGACATTTTACTTTGGCAGCGTTTTGAAAAGTAAACCACTCGTTTAAAATCAACAGATAATTACGTAATACCATCGCCATGTTTAGTTCATGTAACTTGAGCAGTCTCCTTTTACCAACTGAGAAAATAAAAACGGTCAAGAACAGTACAGAATTTTCTGTAATTGACATTTTCGATGTTCTGTTCATTTGACATTACTTGTGGTTCCTTCGATGAATTGACCGTTTTTCGCTAGCTTAATATCGTCAAAACTTACGGCTTAAAAGAGAACAATTTCGGGCGACTTATCTTTCCTTTACTGTTAGTCATTTTTTTGTTCTTTTCTTTTCAAAACAAATGAAATTATAATTGAACGAAAGCGAAAGGTACAACATAGATCACTGAACTTACCTGGGTCTTTGTGGACCTCCGGCTCAATGCGATGACCATCCAGGAACAGTTTTTCCTCTTTAATCTGAACTGGGATTTCAACGACTTGAATTGAATTTAAATCAAGGTCGGAACTTTGTGCCATTACTCTTGGATGGCAGAGAGGCTGTAAAATGAAACGAGCTAAAAACAAATCAAATGTAAACTACTGAGCCGCTAACACTCTGAAGCAACAATTCAATCGTTTGAAGGAAACATCCAATTGACGTCCTGCTCCGAGGTTAGAGGCAAGCGCTTGTTTTTTTGATTTACCTTATTGTGCGTCACAAGGCTGCATTTTTTCTTTCACGTCATACTGCCTTTTATGGCAGACCATTAGCAATCCCCTTTTCTTTGCCGTCCACAAAATAATTAGGAAGCTTTTACAAACAATTAGAAAAAGATCATTAGATGTTGAGACACCAGTTATGAAACGTTTTCGAATGGTATGCCGTGGAATATCCCTCTTGTCACCTGTAATTTATCGGTATACACACAAGTCTTTTAACGATTTAGAGCGGTTTTCAATTGAGTGTCGTAAAACCAAAACCAAACCAATTACTTACCAAGTAGACTACTCGGCCAATCTCAAACCGTAGTAAACCCAAAACCAAAACCAAAGTAATTGTCTAATTACTTTCGACACTCAATTGAAAACCGCTCCATACCATGCCATAGGAATTACAGTGGCCAATACAATCAAGACGACATACGCGTAGTGCACGATGGGAAGGTTAGGTGTACTGTACATGTACTACCGTCGAGTGTACAAAAGCTTTCCTGTATGCTGATTGGCTGTATTTTCTATGCCATGGTGTAACCGCATACTTGAATTGGTCAATATTCAGTTCATCGTTGCTTTTACCGAGTGGAATTTATATTTCTCTCCTATCAATTAAATCTCAGACCATTTCAATTCGTCTCAAATCTCTGTTATCAGTTTTAAAAATGCGTTATTTTCCTAGCTGACCTGTATACCACACAATACTCACAGACCCTAGTTCCCAGCCTTGTCTGTTGCTGTGGTAAAGGCGTGGTTACAAAAGAAAAAATGGCGGAAAATTGGAAAAAGATGCCGCTTGATAATAAACGAGAGTCTTGAATGCACTTGTACCACGGTATGGTGTTATCATGAGCGCGCAACCCTCAGTTCGTGTGTTGACTAGGTTATGGCATTGCGGACGTGTTTTTCGAAGACAGTGTGGGTGGCGAATTCGCGGAATCCATCGTCGTGTTGTTGTCACTGGTCTGGGTGAGCTTGGATTTCTCTGTGTTGAATAACTAATCTTATCTACTGGGTGTTAAGGTATGAAACGAACCTCACACTAAATTCCTGATTAAACGAGACGGTCCGACGTATTTAAGAGGAAATTTATCGCTGGTTCCCTTCTGCGGCGGTTACCTACTGTTCGACGTGTTTTCAGCTGATCACGACAAATTTGCATGGGCAACGTCCGGCCCCCACCCCACCCAAGAGCGGAGTGGGTATAATTGAAGAATTCGCGATTGTAAAAATGAAACGGCCCGACTTAGTTTAGAGGAAATCGATCGATGGTTCGCTAGTTCCGCGGCGGTTTTTATACTGTACCTACGTTTTCAGCTTATTTGGGTAATGTTTTGCCCCCCACCCCAGAAGTGAAGGGTATTAAATCAGGACATGGTAGCTTGGGCAGGGTGTTGATCCCTAATTTGACCAAAACTTAAGACGTCGTTTAACTCACATATTTACTATAATACCTGTAGTGAGGCAATGTTCATGCAATTGAATGACTCTAACTTGATGGACACTGTGATATCTGACAGATGCACTGCTATTTAAATCCTCGTGAACTGTAATTTACATGCTATATCAACGCAACCCCCTCCCCTACCATTCCTTTGTGAAAAGGAAAACAATCCATCCTGTCTAGTGCCTAGTAGTCTATTACTGCAAATAGATTTTTTGGCCAACTAGCTCCAAACAAAAATGCAAAGATACCATTTCAGTAAGTATAATGATATAAGCAAAAGTAACTGATTGTTGGGCTTTCAACAGGTCTGATTACTCCTCTTGGAATTGGTACAGATAGAGTTTGGGAAAATTTAGTGCAAGGAAAATGCGGAATAACAAAAATACACAGGGAAGGTAACTTTCTTTTTGTGGTTAATAACCTAAGGTTTTGTAAGAATCTAGAGTGCAAGGGCTGGATTGGCATCACCCTGGAGTTATGTTTGTGGTTAGGTATACGATGTAATTGTCACCAAATGCGAGGCCCAGATGTAAAAATGCTGGCCAAAATATTTTTCATTCCATCACACAGGCCGAGACAAATTACAACAGACCAGAAAAATGAAGTTCGTTAATATTTCTACATCTTGATCGAACAAGCTTGATTGATAAAGTTTCATTAATTTCTTTCATAGAAAAAGCTTCACAGATGCAAATTTATGTTGTATCTGAACCACCTCTTTAACCAATCAGATTGTAGAATTCAATTCATCTTTCCTGCAGGCTGAGGCAAATAGCATCAACGAACTTCATTCTTATAATGAATTTCTCTCTATCTGTTAATTTCTGATGTTGGTTAATTTCTCATACATATCATATGTATATTTTACATTACTAGATTTTAAAGGGATTCCTGCACAAATAGGTAGGGGCTTTGAACAAATCATGCAGTAAAATGAAATAGTAAATGTTACCTGTCTTCATGGCACTTCTGGTATCAATCTACTACATAAGTGTTCTTTGGTAAAGTGGGATGTCTCCAGACTGAATGCTAGAAGCAAGGAAATATCTTGGACAGGTTGAAAACACGTAATGATCTCTGTAGATTCATGGTCATTCTCCCCAACTTTGAGAGAATGTGGGATGATTTTTATTTTCCAGTTGAATTGGTAGAGGTAGTAATATGACAAGGTGTTCTTAGAGGTTGGCAAAGCAACCTAGTTTTCTTGGTGCAAATTCTGCAGATAATTTAATTTTAATGCTTTCTGTTTATTAATTCAGCTGCATTTGTGCCAAGAGGTACAAATCCAGGAGAATTCAATGAGAAACACTGGGAAAAGGAACTTAAAGTGGTAAGAAATATAGTTAGCTGTGCTCCTGTCTAAAGATATGGTAACCTTTTTTGGTTCTGAGAGTTTGTTGGCACATCAAGCCCTTCCTTACCTCTACTCTCTTCCAGGACAAGTATAGGAGCTTACTTGCTGTCACTTGCATCATCTAACATGATGGGTAGCGTGCTATACCATTTGCAGATTTCACACCCTGCCCTGTATCAAACAGGATACCCAGAAAAATGCTGATATCCATTATACATGGGAGGAACATTTAATTTCTTTCCCTGTAGGATAGAATAAGGGGGCGATAATGGTAGGACTTAAATGCCGTCAACCTCTAGATCTACATCTAGGTCTCATCTTCAACATACACCAACTATTTTCACAAATGCACCACCTGCTTTCTTCCCTTAGTTTTCCATGTGCTTGCAGCGCAAGAATAAAGCTCTGTCGATTGATTGATATTTTCTTTTGGGTAGGATAGACGGAGCACCACAACAGAAGGCCTGTTTTCCATTGTAGCTGCACATGAGGCTTTTGAAGATTGTAATTGGAGACCAACTACGCAGCAACAGAAAGAAAGAACTGTATGTAAAATGTGTTGCACTCAACTTGAATTGTAAGATCTGGCTAGGTGTTGGTCTCTCTGAGAAAATAAGTGCATACAGGGCCAAGAAATCCAAAAGCTGTCATTGCAGTTATCAGCAGTTTGACATTAAGGGATAACTCTGCTTTGGGTTGACCCTTTGTTGTTGTTTGTACTGTAAATCCTTGAATTAGCCCCTCCCCTCAAATAAGCCACCTCTTAGTATAAAGGCCCCTTCTATTGGCCAAAATTTAAAAGAAGTGCCTCCCCTGAACAAGCGCCCCCTCCCTTCCCTCTGCTTTATTGAAGATTGCTGAGAGAACAAAGTATGTACTAATACAGTTTTGGTCGTGTTCAATCACAAGCAAGTGATTATTGACTCATTCAAGCACTGTAGATTGACTTTCACAGTATGTGGTAGTGAAGATCTGCTGATTCATTACGTAAAGCCCAACCAATCTTGTGCAGCAGGCCTAGACTGGCGAAAGGGGTTATATTGTGTAGTTCAAGAGAGCTAGAATCCTTCTGAGACTTCTGAGGGACTGACACATACATATATTCCAAAAAAAAACAAAAAAACATTCATATCTTACCATGATTTGGGAAAAATTGAATGAGCATCCCACCTCGATTAAGTGCCTCCCTCGAACAAGCACCCCCTGTCTTCTCCTAGATTTGAAATAAGCGACCCAAACCCTAATTCAAGGATTTACGGTATGCCTTTTTAAAGTGCCTATGAAGTAAAAAATAATTGCTGCTGATTTGAAAGGCTTTTCAAAGTAAAGAAGAATGGCGTTTTACTTTTTGGAATATCTTTTTTCGTTTTAGAGATATTCACGTTTTTGTATTATAAGTGATGACGTCATAGGTGGTTCAACTAAAACAGTTCAACACTCAATCAAGAATATCTCTAGAAATATTAAAGCAGTGTTCTTTAAACTTGGCACCAGAAATGTACATCACAAAAGAAAAAAA